ACGGCTGGGGAAAGGCCCTGGGGAAGTGCAGTTCCGCGCAGAGGCCTGGAGCATGTCCACACGCCCGTGGCTGGGCAGGAGTGAGATGGAGGGCTTCCCGTGCTGTGCCTGGGCACTAACGTGGGTCCCTGAGAGTCCTGAACCCTACAATGCTTGGCCCCCACCTCCGGCGGGCACAGGTTCTTTTTGGCCAGTGTGACTGGGACCACAGAGAAATGGGCCCCCGTGTGGCCCCCATACTCCCCAGGCAAAGCAGGTAGACAGGTGACCCGAGCTCACCTAAGCTTGCCTCCATGGGGACAGAAACCAAGGCCTGCCCCAAGTGCCAGAGCTGAGAAGTGGTCATGTGAGCAACACAGAATTCCTCTAGCTCTGGGATTAGCCAATTTTATTCAGCAGAGCCATCACTACCCAAGTTTGTTTGCTTATTCTTTCTTTCAAGTGACTACCTGTTTGAAAAGACTTGATTCCTGACTCTTTAATTCAGCCAACATTTCATAGGCCCTCTATAGAGGCTACTCACCTCCCTGGTCCCTGCCCTCAGGCAGCTGCAGATCCAGCTGGAAAGCCAGCTCACACTTGAAAAAATTTTGCAAAAGATACTCAGCAAAACCCAAATGAGAATACGTGACAGCAGATGCTCCAGGTGAGAGAGGGGGCGGTCTGTGGGTGGGGGCCCTGGGAAGGCTTCAGGGACCAGGTGGGCCCTAGGTAGGCCCTGCAAGGAGGTGGGCAGGGGTTCCAAAACTGGAGCAAGAGTCACTAGGAGAAAGGGGGAAAGAACTGTGGTCAAAGGCCCAGCCTCCCCAGGCAGACCGGCAGCTCCCAGAGGGCAGGGGTGGTGTTTGGGGCCAGTCTCTCCACAGCCCCAGGCAGTACATCAAATATCAGCTGACCAGTTGGATGATAACACAGCCTGGTTGAAACTCCCTGGCAGGAGCTCTGTCCCCCAGCCCACAGGCCCTGCTTCAGTTAGCAGTACCCCTGTCCCCAAGATGGACGTCTGAGAGATGTTCCAGAATTGTCTCTGCCCCTTAAAATCTGACCTGTCAGCAAGCCTTGCGAATGCCATGGTTCACAAAGCTCTCAGAACTCATCTACTGGTCAAGGTTCAAGGTCAAGGTTTACTGGTCAAGGTTCAAGGGGAAAAGTCTGGACTTGGCTGTGTGTTCCAGATCTCTCTACCCAAGAGTGTAACTCGCCCTTTCCCAAACAAACCAAATCCCGCCCCAACCAAAGAACCTTTCCACCGACCCTTCCTTCAGCCTCCAAACCCTCTTTCCAGAAGATGGAGCCTCTCCTGTAATTCCCTGCGGTGGGGATCCTCTGTCCCTCACTCTTGTCACCCCACTGGAGAACACTGGGACTCTCCCCCTCATTTTCCTGGGACCCAGCTCAGTGCCTGGCACAGGTGTGTTGAATAAGCAGGTCGGTGAGGGAAGGCTTCCCATGCTGTCCCTAACCCACAGCCACTGGGCCAGAGCACAGCCTCAGCCGAGAAGCAGTGTGCTGGCTTCCCGATGAGAGTGCCAAAAATCCAGACAAGAAAAGAAACCCTTTCTTGAGTCACTGTCGAGTCCAGGGAGCAGTTTGCACAAGGGGGCCGGGGGAGCCCCCATTTCCCTTCAACCCTGCTGTCTCAGGAGAGCTGGGTTTGGGGCTCTGCTCTGCCATTATTTGGCAACCCTGGACACATCATTTGGTATTCTGGCTGCTTCCTCAGCCGTGAGACTCAGAGGTGCCTGAGCTGCATCTGCAGAGCTGACACTGCATGCAATGACAAAACACAGGTGAGAGTTCTGCCTGGTGGGAACAAAGCACATACAAAAGGCACACACTGCAGACAAAACTTCATTCCCTGCTGTTTCCCCAACTTGTAAGACTATTGCTCTTAATGTTAATTAGAACTGTGACAACCGTTTCACGTCTTCCTGAAGTAATAACAGGTTAGAATTCTCCTCAAGCCCCACCCAGGGAGACCCTTCCGCCATTCCCTACCTACTTCCACCTTTCCTGGCCTCTGTTTCTCCTTGAAGGAAAAGCAGACACTGAAACAGATCTGAGTTTAGACTGAATCAACACTTATTGAACACATTATGTATCCAGCACCTTCACAATTTTTACTGGACACCTCCTCGTGGTAAGAATTGATGGTCTGGATCACCCAGTGGACAGACCACGCAGGAGCTCACAGCACCCACAGATCAGGAGTACCAAAAAGGTGATGAGAAATGTTTTCTAGAAAAATGATCAAACATTACCAAAAACACATCACAACTGCTTTCATGGAAAGAATCAGAACGTCATTGGCCTTCCTTACCCTGCACTACATAGTTTCGTGCTGTCTTCCGTCTAATATTAGGGGCCCCTAATCTTCTCAGTGCTTACAGCAGAGACAGACCTTCATCTGGGTGTTGCTCCTCACCTACCACAGATGCAGCAATTGAGGGTCTGGAAGGGCAAATGACTTGTCACACAGCTTGGAAGCGACAAAAAGGCCTCTAGCGTGGTCTGCAGGGCCCTCTCAGGGCGAGAGGCTCTGCTGCCACAGGTCCCAGGCCAGGTGCCCCCTGTCCCCTGCAGCACTAAGTTGCATTGCAGCCTCTACCACCTCCAGGGGAGATGTGTCTGGGAGAGTCCTGACTGTGCAGAGAAGAGAGAACGAAGACCTTTGTGGGATCCTAGAAACTGGCACATTTCCATTCTGTGCACTCCACTTCCAAGTCCCTTTGTGGGGCACAATAAGCCTCATGCCACCACTGCCAGCCTGGCTCTCCTCCTCTCTCCTCCCCGCTAAGGGCCGAGCTCCCACTGCATGCTGCCTTCTCACTGGCACAACTGCCTTCCTCCTCGTAAGGGTAGAGACATCAATATAAGATGCCATGACTTTAACTGCCACACTTCCCTGACTGTGTCCTATATGACTACAAATACGTTCGTGCCCTTTGAATAGTATTTCTGAAAGTGGAGACGAATTTTCACAGGACCTGTCCCTTCGCTCCCCTTCAGACCACTGAAGAGGGTCAGGGTTAGTATCTGTGGCTATGGAATAAAGTACCTGGGCCCAAGGGACTCAGAGCTTGTTCACTGGGCTAGGAAGCCCTGTGCCCTTAGGGCTTTAGAAAACACACCAAACCAGCAGATTCAAACCGGGAAAGCTTATAGTGTAAAGAGCAGGAATGGCTTGCAAGCTGACGACTTACATCAGTCCCTGCCAACGCAATATGTGGGGCGACCTGGCCATCAGGACACATCCCATCAGTTCCCCCTCAAAACAATTTTGTTCCCTGAAGTATCATTCTATGTCACACAGTCCATGTTTTTGCTCTTAGGGTGATTCTAGAACCATGGCCTGCTGTTTTCAAATCTTTGCAAGAGCACATATAAAGCTCTTTCTTGGTTCCAGAGGCCCATCCTATAGAAAAACCTCCAAAGTCCTCAGCTCCTCAGGGATGAGAGACAGAGAGAATGACTCTCAAATATGCAGTCAGTTAAAAAACAAGAATTCTAAGACTAATTAATAATATGCATGTTTAACTATTTAGGGGGGAATAGACCGATATCTGCAACTTACTCTGACACACATAAAAACAAAATAATCAGATGGACTGCTGGATGGTTAGATTTGTGATAAAGTACAATAAAATGTTGGACTTTCTAGGTGGCATTCACTGTAGAATTTCTTCATTTCCTGTACGTTTGAAACTTTTCATAATTAAACGTTTGGCAGAGGGCAAGGCAGAGCTGGCGTGCCTCTCCCCACCAGACTCTTAGATCAGCTCTGAGGGAAGAAACAAAGCACGGAGGAGCAAGGTCACACTTGCTAGGCACTGCCCTGCCCAGCAGTCCACAGGACACACACGAAACTGGTATAAACGCTATGCTCAAGGTCTTCCATCCTCCTCACACTAAGACCAAGGTTCTCAACCCCAAATGAGCCCGAGAATTATCTGTGGAACTTATTAAGTAAACTCCTGGGGCACATCTCATAACTGCTACATCTGAACCTCTGGGGGTGGGTCCCCGGAATCGGCCCTTTTAACGAGGGTCCCGATGTCTCTGATGCAGAGGATCTTAGGCCCATACTGGAGAAACTTACAGCCTCTTGCTCCTTACCTGACACCTGTTGAAAGGCCTCCTGGGAACATTTAGAGGAAAGCAAAAACACGCATACCCTTAAATAAGTCAAGTGCCCAAACCCGGGCTCGCATGACGCTGTGAGTTCAACTACACCAAAGTCATCGATGGTATGAGGTTGGGCCCAAAGATAGGCCAGGTCACTGCCTCCACCCTCGGCACCGGCGTGTACGGTCGAGAGTGGGCGCAGAGATTTACAGATGTAGGCAAACCAGGGCGGGCGGGGGAGGGAGAGCCGCGCAGGGCCCGCCTGGCCTGCCAAGGTCACCACGGAGCTCAGCAGAAGCTTCTTTGTCGCCGGGACCCTCCTCCCGACCCCCCCTCCTTGAAGAAACAGCCCCTGCGGAAAACCGGGGATGGTACTTCCCCAACCTTCCCTGCAGAGGATGTGGGAGGCGTGATAGCGGGATCCGACGAGCGGACCGGCAGCCCTCGGGGCACCAAGCCCGCCGCCTGCCGAAGCCTGGCTAAGCTGTCACCGCAGCCCCGCGGGTGGCCGGCCAACCCAGCGACGGTACGACGTCAAAACCCCAAGGCTGCTCTGGATCGCATCAGCATCCTGGGAGGAGGCGACCGGCCCGCTGCGCCGCCCCCGTGGTCCCTTTACCTCGAGAGGCCGGCAGCCCAAGGCCGAGCGAACGCCGAGACAGCCCGGGTCCAAGCGCTCGGAGGACAAGACCCTCAGCCCCGCGGGGCTTTGCGCGCACACCACCCCCCCGTCCGCCCAAACGCCTCTGGGAGATGTAGTCCGTCCGGGTGCCCGAAACGCGCTCCGCGGGCCAGCGGGACCACAGTGCCCGGCGTGCACCGCGCGGGCGCCGCAGGCGGGGGCAGGGAGGGGGCTGCGAGGTACGAGGTCTTACCCGTCCCCGCACTGGCCGCCAGTACCCAGCCCTGCTCCCAGGAGTCTCCGCGGGAAGCCGTCTAGAATGGTCGAGGCGACTCACCGTCGCCGCGGCGGCCGCAGCAGCAAGAACAGCCGCCTCCGCAGCTTGCAGTCGCGCGTCTGTCAGAAGGAGGCGGGTAGACTTTGGAGCAGGGCCGAGACCCGTGGCGTCACAGCGAGGGGTGGAACCATGCGGTCAGAGGAGGGGCCATGAGGTCAGTGCAGGGGCGGGGCCTCGAGGCGGCACGTGACTAGCCCTGGTGACTTCACGAGAGCGGGAGCCCTTCGGCCCACGCGAGGCACGTGACAGGGCGTGGGGTCTTTGTCAGGTGAGGGAGCAATCAAGGGAGGCTCTGCTAGGTCTCCCTCCCGGCTCGCCAGACCCCGGGTATCCACCAGAGCTAGGCGCACCTTTCTTCCTTTCAGGCGCATTTGTTCGTTTATTCCACAAATATCTATTGGGTTTAGGCGCTGGACATTATGTGGACATGACCAGGTGGAAAGATTTTAGTTGCCTGATGTGGCGGTTCCAAGCAGAGCTTAAATGAGACAACACTCCGCCTTTTCCTTTCAGCTCTCATACTGTTAACAAGTGTTAGTGGGCATTTTTAATGCCATGTTTTTTGCAGTTTTGTTCCTTTGGTTGGTTTTGCTGTTTAAAATGGCCCCCCAAGCATGGTGTTGAAGCGCTGTCCAGTGTTCAGTGAGCATGAGAAAGCTGTGATGTGCCTTACACAGAAAGTACCTGTGTTAGATCAACTGTGCCTGTGTGAGTTATAGTGCCCTTGGCCTTGAGTTCAATGTTACTGAACCAATAATATATATTAAATAAGTTGTTTTAAAACAGAAACACTCAAATATGGTTATGTATTAATTAGTTGATACAAATGTTATGACCAGTGGCTGGCAGGAACCTTACCATGCATTTCCCCTGGAGCAGTGAGTGGTTCACTGTTCACTATTTCAGTGTTTGCAGTGACTTTTTTTAAAAAATAATTTTTATTTTTTCTTAATCAGCCTAGTAAGGGATTTAGTTATAGTTTATTGTTAACATTTAAGCCTTTGGTCATTTTTTAATTTATCCAAATGATATTCCTCCTTTCCTTTTTTTTTTTTAAGGCCACAACGTGTGGCTCACAGGATCTTAGTTTCCCGACCAAGGATTGAACCCAGGCCACCACAGTGAAAGCGCTGAATCCTAACCACTGGACCGCCGTGAGCCTTTCACTGTTGTGGCCTCTCCCGTTGCAGAGCACAGGCTCCGGACGCGCAGGCTCAGCGGCCATGGCTCACGGGCCCAGCCGCGCCGCGGCATGTGGGATCTTCCGGGACCGGGGCACGAACCCGCGTACCCTGCATCGGCAGGCGGACTCTCAACCGCTGTGCCACCAGGGAAGCCCACAACTTTTTTTTTTTTAATTGAAGTGTACTTGATTTATAATCTTGTGTTTGTTTCTGGTGTATGACGAAGTGATTTAGTTATACATATATATTTTTTCTTTTTCATATTCTTTCCCATTATGGTTTATTACAAGATATTGAATATAGTTCCCTGTGCTATAGAACCTTGTTATCTGTTTTATTCAATATATATAGTAGTTTTTATATGCTAATCCCAAGCTCCTAATTTATCCTCCCCACTCCTTTACCCTTTAGTAACCATGAGTCTGAGTTATCTATGTCTGTAAGTCTGTTTCTGCTTTGTAAGTTCATTTGTGTCATATTTTATTTTATTTTTTAACTAGTTATTTATTTATTTTTGGCCGTGCCATGTGGCTTGCAGGATCTTAGTTCCCTGGCCAGTGATTGAAACCACGCCCTTGGCAGTGAAAGCACGGAGTCCTAACCCCTGGACCGCCAGGGAGTTCCCGATTTATGTCATAATTTAGATTCCACATATAAGTGATATCATCTATTTGTTTTTCTCTTTCTGACTTACTTCACTTAATATGACAATCTCTAGGTCCATCCATGTTTCTGCAAATGGCAATATTTCATTCTTTTTTATGGCTGAGAAGTTGCAGCGACTTTATAGAACATATATACCACTAATAATGAGACTCAACTGCGTATGATTCGATTTTATGTGGTGCAGGGGCTTCTCACTGCGATGGCTTCTCTTGTTGCGGAGCACAGCCCCCAGGCGGGCGGGCTTCAGCAGTTGTGGCTCACGGGCTCTAGAGCACAGGCAAAGTAGTTGTGGCACACGGGCTTAGTCGCTCCGTGGCATGTGGGATCTTCCTGGACCAGGGCTTGAACCCGTGTCCCATGTATTAGCAGGCGGACTCCCAACCACTGCACCAGCATTTTGCGGTACGCGGGCCTCTCACTGTTGTGGCCTCTCCCGTTGCGGAGCACAGGCTCCGGACGCGCAGGCTCAGTGGCCATGGCTCACGGGCCAAGCCGCCCCGCGGCATGTGGGATCTTCCCGGACCGGAGCACGAACCTGTGTCCCCTGCATCGGCAGGCGGACTCTCAACCACTGTGCCACCAGGGAAGCCCTCGATTGACATTTTAAAGAATCATTCTGATTGCTGTGTGGAACGTGGTTTAGACCAAGAGAAGCAATTAGGAAGCTGGGAAACCAGCACACATGCAGTTTTTAAAGTTTCTACTAATCATATTAAAAAAGTAAAAAGAAACAGGTGAGATTAATCTGTACTAATTAACCCAATATATGCAAAATATTGTTTCAATATTTAATCAGTATAAAAAATTATCAATGAGATATTTTACATTCTTATTTTTCCCACACCAAGTCTTCGAAATCCAGTGTGTATTTTATACTTACAGCACATCTCAGTTTGGTTCAGCTACATCTCATGGGCTCAAGAGCCACATGTGTCTTGTAGCTATTATATGAGACAGTGCAGATACTGAACATTTATCCATTTACTCATTCAACCAAGCAAGATCTTGTTGTAGGCCTGGAAATATACAGAATGTAATAAAGCCCCATCTCTGTTCTTGAAGTGCACACTCCAGCTAGGGAGACTAATGTAACAGCTTGTGTTGAAGACCGCACGACAAAGTGCTTTGAGAGGTCAGGGAGGGAGCACCCAGATAGGGAAAGCTTCAGAGAGGAGATAGACATTGAAGTTGGGACTTGAAGGATGTGTAGGAGATCCCCAGGTGGAAGAAGTAGGGAAGGGCACTCCTATCAGTGAGAACTGCTTATGCGAAGTCCCAGAGAAATGATGCCGAGCATCTCTGGGGAAATGCAAGCAGTTCTTTATGGCTGGAGTGTAGGGTATGAAATGTGAGGGTGGTGGATAAGGAAACAAGAGGGTCTTATAGACCAATATATGGAATGTAGAACTTACCCTGTTCAGTAGTAATGGGGAATGGTGAGAATTTTAAGCTAAGTGATGTGATCAGATCTGTGCTTTAGACAGATCATTCTGGCAACGGGGAAGGGGTGGAAACCAGAGACAGGAAGACCCATTAGGAAGGGAAAGGACCCTAGGATGGATGGAGAAGAAAGCCCCGTGGAGACTGAGAAGGGTCAGAGAGGAGGGAGGGCAAAGGGTGGTCCAGAGTGTTCTGTGCAGTAGAAAAGAACAGGCAAACCTTACTATGCCAGAGGCTGGTGGGGATTTGCTGACCCTCCAGAGTCCATGAAATGGCAGAGGGATTGAGCACCAGTGAGAACCTACAATTCAGTAAGATCGAACTGGGTTCAAGTCTTGGACTATACCACTGTGTGGCCTTGTTCAAAGTACTAAGTTTTTCTTTATTTTTGGCTGTGTTGGGTCTTCGTTGCTGTGCGCGGGCTTTCTCTAGTTGCAGCAAGCGGGGGCTACTCTTCGTTGCGGTGCACGGGCTTCTTATTGAGGTGGCTTCTTTTGTTGCGGAGCATGGACCCTAGGGTGCACGGGCTTCAGTAGTTGTGGCACACAGGCTCAGTAGTTGTGGCTTACAGGCTCTGGAGCGCAGGCTCAGTTGTGGTGCACGGGCTTAGTTGCTCCGTGGCATGTGGGATCTTCCCGGACCAGGGCTTGAACCTGTGTCCTCTGCATTAGCAGGGGGATTCTTAACCACTGCACCACCAGGGAAGTCCTCAAAGTACTAAGTTTTTCTAACCACAAAATGAGATTAAATATAAAACCAGCTTCGGGAATTCCCTGGCAGTCCAGTGGTTAGGACTTGGCGCTTTCACTGCTGTGGCCCAGGTTCAATCCCTTGTCGGGGAACTAAGATGCTGCAAGCCGTGTGGCATGGCCAAAAAAAAAAAAAGACCAGCTTCAGGGGGCTGTTGTGAGGATGGATTGGCTTACTGCAGTTAGGTCACTTTGCACGGGTCTTGGCACTTACTGACACTAGATGCAAATAGTAGCTGTTACTATTTGCTATCCTTTCAATGCCCTGGGCCTCAGTTCCCTCACTTAACAAAAATGGAATTGCCATCTACCACTTGCTGTTAAAGAAATCAAGGAATAAATGAGATGATTGAGTTGTATTTGCACTTAAAACTAAGGGTAGGACTTCCCTGGTAGTCCAGTGGTTAAGAATCCACCTTCCAATGCAGGGGACAAGGGTTCGATCCCTGGTTGGGGAACTAAGATCCCACATGCTGCGGGACAACTAAACCTGTGCGCCACATCTACTGAGCCCGTGTGCCACAACTAGAGAGCCCCCATGCCACAACTAGAGAGAAACCCTCGTGCTGCAACGAAAAGATCCCGCATGCCACAACTAAGACCCGACGCAGCCAAAAATAAATAAATATTTTAAAAAATAAATAAAAACAAAGGCAAATGTTCATCAAAAGATGAAACATGGGATCACTAGCAATTCTACTCCTAAGAATACACCCAAGAGAAATGAAAACATATGTCCACACAGAAACACATACACTAATGTCCACAGCATTTGTTCATATTCATAGCATGAATGTTCACATTCACTATAGCCAAGAGAGTGGAAACAACCCATCAACTAATAAGTAGATCAACAGAATGTGTTCTGTTCATACAATGCATTATTATTAGGCCATAAAAAGGACTGAAATTCTGATGCAGACTACAACATGGATAAACCTTGAAAACATCATGCGAGTTGAAAGAAGTCAATCACACAGGACCCAATATATGCAAAATATTATTGCATAATATCACGTATTTTATGATTCCGTTGATGTAAAATGTTC